GGGAAAATATTTTCCTTTGTGAGAGCAAAGAATAGTTCTATGTATGCAATGTATAAGCAAAACATATCTGTTTTGAAGAAGGCACCTCTCCTAATTCACTCACTGATGTTACCTGCCTGTCACCAGGCATCTCAGTTTGCATCCCATGGTGGACATTCTCAGAGAGCAAAAACACACCAGGCTGAATACACAGAAACTGAGGTCATTTTAAGATTGTTTCATTTATAGTGTTAAGGCAAGGCCTCTGAGTTTACTTCCAAAATTGCTTTTCCTGTCAGGCAGGCCTGGCAGGACCAAGTGAGGAGAGGTCTGCCTCAGCCTTTGTTCATCTTCCTCACCCCATGTAGAAAGCTCTCCCTCTATATTTCTACGCAATCAATAATAACAATAATAATAATAATAAATGATTTTTAAACAGACCTGATACAATCCTGGTTAAAGACTCAATGTCTCCCATTAAGCCCTCCATCCTTTTTCCAGCCTGCCCTCATTTTTTGTTCTCTGAATGATTTTAAATGTATAGTAAAAAGTAGATAATAATGAAAATAATACATTTAATTATAATCTAATTCATTTAGGCTCAATAGTTTTGTGTGATAAAGAAGCATAGTAATATCGTAGAGTGGCAGAGACCATGTTTTATGTTTTATATACCCTATAGTGTGTGTATGTATGTGTGTGTGTTTTTGTCCCCAGAAACTATAACAGAGATGGATACGAGCTTGCAAACTATTTGTTGATTGATTTGGTAATTGAAATCTAAATTTTTGTTAATACAATATTACTGGTATAATTTCTACTTTTTTTTTCTGGGGACAAAAACACTGCGGTACGCGGGCCTCTCACTGCTGTGGCCTCTCCCATTGCAGAGCACAGGCTCCGGACGCGCAGGCTCAGCGGCCATGGCTCACGGGCCCAGCCGCTCCGCAGCATGTGGGATCTTCCCGGACCAGGGCACGAACCCGTGTCCCCTGCATCGGCAGGCGGACTCCCAACCACCGCACCACCAGGGAAGCCCCTAATTTCTACTTTTTCTCATGAGCATTTGGGTTCCAGTCCTCCACCACCTTCAAGACTCTCCCCCTGGGGAATCTCTGCTTTACTAAACAACGATGACTTGAATAAAGTGCCACAGCAAACAGTGGCACTCGCTGTTAATTAGAGCTGAGATCTCCTGACACGCTCACCCACTTTACTTCAGCATTTCCTCCATTCCTCAAAAGAGCTGTTGAGAACAACCATTTCAAGTGGCTAAACTACTTTTGTTAAAGCAAATAGTCTGTGACTGGTAGCAGTTGGTGTGCCTTTGTATGCGTGTGTGTGTCTATGTGTATGTGTTAGTGAAACAGACAGAGAAAGAACCAGAAGCAGAAAGTTGATGGACACAGAGAGGGGGGATTTAAAAGTGGAACTGGGGGAACCTTCTTATGTCTTGAGCATTAGGTGTGGAGCTGGGTACCTCCTTGTTTAGGTAAGAGGGTTATCGGTCGCAGTTCTGGTGTAGTGTAGGAAGGGGATTCATAGTCCAGTGGCCCCGTGTCAAGGAAACAATAATGAAGTGTGAAGAGAAGAGAGATAAAGAGTAAATACTGACTCACTCTCTTTTGTTCCAAAAAAGCAAGTCCAAAATGCTCTCTTCACATAGTTATTTGCCTAGTCTGGACAAAGCCCATCTCACTGATGAGGGTTACTCTTTAGGGTGTACACCATTTGTTTAAAACCCCAAAGGTGCGTGAACTTTATATTCAAATATCAATATTATACCTTTTTTGCTAGTGAAACTATGCCATTTTCTAGTATAGAATTGGCACATTTTAAGCTCTTTCTTTTTAGAAAAATTAAAACTGCGAATATAACACAAATATTTTGCCTTTTCTCCTCTTACCCTCAAAATTGGAATAAAATAGCCCATTCTCAAGGCTCTGATAACACTTTTCCACTCAGACAAAGGTAAAAAGCTGCAGAACAGAAAATAACATGTGTCTTGTTGGAGGATTATAGGAACATTGTTACCAGACCTATCTGTACAGCTGCAGGTACAAAGGATTCTGGCACCAGGAAGTTTCCAACAACCAGCCACAACTCCTCCCCTTTTAGGATAAAAAAAGCTGGAATTCTAACTCAGGAAAGATGGTTCTTTGGGACACTAGTCCACCATCTTCTGGGTCTGCTGGTTTTACAAATAAAGTCATTATCCCTTGCCCCAACACCTCGTCTCTCAATTTATTGGCCTGTCGTGCAGTGAGCAGTAAAAGCTTGGACTCATTAACAATGCTGACTATCCCTGTCTGAGTAAATGGTCTCCCAGTCACCCATGCTTGAAGCCTTGGAGTTACCATTGGATCCTTCATGATGAAAACTGAATTATATTATATCTGTCTTAAAAATATTCAAATGACTACAAAAGTCCACCACATAATGTTCAAAACCTAACCATGATGGGGCAGATAACTGTCCATTGCTTATGCAACACTCCATCCCCATCCCTGCAAATAAGCTGTTGATTTCATTTCCAGGTATAAGGCAGAGTTTCCTTGATTTAAGGGAAAGAAAGGCCCTCTACAAGCCCATGATGTTTCCCAGATCTGGCCAAGTAGATCAAAGAGAGCGTCTGAAGGAGCATGATGCCCAGAAATGTCTCCTCAGCTTGTGATCACAAATATAACCATCAAGGGTAGCAGAAGAGAAGAGTTAGAAGGATAGAAAGTTCCTGGGTCCTCAATGATATCACTAAACAGTTACAAGACTCCTGCAACTGCCTACCTCCAGACCCAGCACTATGGAGAGTTAACGGAAGCCGATATTACTTTAGCCACTGTTAATTGGTACTCTGTGACTGAAAGCATTTCTGTTTAATGCACAAGGCCCTTCAGGATTCTTGCTATCTGGTCCCACCCTACTTTGCAGTTTCTTCAACCTTCCCCAACCCTTCACAGCAAAGGTTCCATCCTGTAGTGTTTTAGATTTTCTTTTAGAAGGCTGACTTATTTCTTCTGTGTCCTCCAGGTGAGCAGCTCTTGATGGTTCAAGCTCTAGCTCAAAATGTTACCTCCTCAAGCAATGATTATCAATCCACCAAAAGCCTCTGATTGTTTTTCCTGAAGTCACACCCTCCCAAGAAAAATTAATTTCTCCTCTGTGTTGCACATTATTTGTATACAACACATTCTATTGCAATGATCCATTCATCTGTCTTGCACTTGCCTTTGAGTCCCCAAATATGAGGATGTCTTACTCATCACTGTTTTCACAGATCCTAGAACACTGGCTATTTTACGTAATAAACACTCAGCTAATGCTTCTGGGTTTTATAAAATACCCGTGGTCACAATAGGAGCAGCTACTATTCATGGTTTTTTTGGAGAGAACTGGTACAAACTTAGATAATCATTAAAAATATACTACTAATAAACCTAAAACTAATCACAATTCCCAACTGAATAGTGATGTCAACCTTCTTTGGGAGTGGCTTTTTTAATTTCTACAAAATGCTATTTGTTCCCTATGTTTTTTTTTTTTCTTTCTGACAAAATGCACAGATATCTTCTTCTCATATACCTATAGATATTTATACTTTACTACCAAAAATATATTTTTAGAGTTCTGATAAATTCACATAATGTTCCTTCTCTGCGAGTTGAACTCACGCTGTTGATTACCCATATGATACATGATATGGCTCCATCACCAAAGCTTCTAGTTACATTTTCAGTCTGAGGAAGCTGTTGCTCTACCTCTGCCTGGGTATTGTTCTAGAGACATCCCTTCCCCAATATAGAGATCATTCATCCTGTTCCAGTTTTTTTTGTTTTTGTTTTTTTGGCTGTGTTGGGTCTCCATTGCCGCACGCAGGCCTTCTCTCTAGCTGCGGTGCATGGGCTTCTCGTTGCGGTGGCTTCTCTTGTTGCGGAGCATGGGTTCTAGGCACGTGGGCTTCAGTAGTTGTGGCTCGCGGGCTCTAGAGCGCAGGCTCAGTAGTTGTGGCGCACGGGCTTAGCTGCTGTGCGGTATGTGGGTTCCTCCCGGACCAGAGCTCGAACCCACATCCCCTGCATTGGCAGGCAGATTCTTAACCACTGCGCCACCAGGGAAGCCCCCCTGTTCCAGTTTTAACTTGTGCGTGACTGTCAGAGAGACCACAGGCTAAACTCATGCTAATTGCTTTCCAAGATGAATATCAGAGTTGAAAAAACATTAAAGAATTGGTCTTTTCTTCAGAGCCCTAACACTCTTAAGGTATAGAAACCTGAAAACTACAGGCAGTTGCTTGATTATTTGCTGTTTATTTCAATTGACAGCTCCCTGAGTCCACCATATAGATCAATCAGTTCAAAGCACACATATTCTGCCTTTTAAAAATTGATGTTTAATAATATTTATCTATTAACAATGCAAAATTGCATCACAGATTTTAATTTCCACTTGTGAATTTAAAGGTGTGTTAGATTATAATTTTCCAGCTCTTTTGACCTACAGGGAAACTTAGTACCTTGCCCAATGACCAGTTACTGTCTTCAGCTTATTACTGATACATCAAATGTCTCATAATATTTACTCTCTCTACTGCCTTCATATCGTCTTTGCTACATTTTTATCCTCAATTTTACTTCCTATTCATTTTTTCCCAGTTGTCTAGAATTTTTTTGAAGCAAAGGAGGCATAAACTCTAAGTTACTTCAACTTTATAAATGAAAACTGCTTTAGATGAGCCCCGAGGATTCTTTTTTTTAAGAAATTTAGTGCAAGACAGTTGGAGTTGTAAGGCCTACTGCATTGCACAGCTCCGAAAAGCACCATTCACTTCTCTATCATCCATGTGAAGAATGTTCCCTGTAGTGTGCCACATGCTGTCACCTCCTTTTGTGTGCAGGGCTATTTACACTGTCTCTATGAGTAGAGACAGAGATATCTGTGGTTATGGTTTTCTAAGTGATAATTTCATAAAAGCAGTTTCTAGACACCCGAGGACTTACCGTCCAGGAGAACATTATCTTTCTTACCTGAGCTGTGGTTTCCTGCTAGCAAGGTGGGGCTCACAGAGCATCTTCCCAGTCTACTGGTGACCACAGGTGGCCCAGGTGTTCCATCCCATTCCTGAGCTTTGATAGGCTCTCTGGAGGAAGATGCCCCATGATGTCCTCTCTCTTTGTTGTCCAACTTTGGTATTGGTTCCGTGCTGTGGCTCCGAACTTTCAGCTCCTCTGCTGATTCTGTGTATTAACCAGAATTATATTCTGTTAAACAAGAGTCAAATCCTTCCCAGATTCCTTAAATATTAAAGAATGATTTTCTAAAATATTTTAAATATATTTTTGGAAACTTAGACTTGTGTTGAAGACTACATTTAAATAAAACAGGGACAGATCACACGGGTCTTTTTTCTGAGCTGTGCAGGTTATTATCAGCAGAAAATAATTATCTCTTCGGAAGTAGAGAACCTCAATGAATATTCAGTATTCTTTAGTAACTCTTCCCTTCTGCTAATCTTCAAGGAAACTTCATAAGGAGCACTTTACATTCCCTCTCTTTACTTTCTCATCTTCTCTTCATTCTGCTACCCACTGTGACATGAATTTAGCCCAGCCACTCTACTAAAAGTGCTTTTGCTTAAATCACCTAGTGCTTTTTAGTTGGCGAATTAAGAAGACATTTTTAAGCCATTTGATTACTCTTTGATTACTCTCTTATTGATATCTTCAATTTTCTTGGCTTCACTGATGGGCCATCTTCCTGTGGTGTGCTCGCTAACACCACTGCTGTGTCATTCATACCTTTTCTTCCTCCGAGAGTCCCTCACGTGTTGGTTGTCCCCAGGGTTCTAGCTTAGCCACTGTTCTCGCTCTACATATATTCTTTCTGTGATTTCATCCTCCAGGATTCAACTAGCAATTGTCTGATGGCTAGTGATTTCTAAATAGTTTATCAGAAGTCTGGAACATTCTCCTGAGCTGCAGACTCATTTATCCAACTGCCTACTGGATGAGTCCATCTGGATGCCCCTTAGATAACACAAATTTAACATTCACGTACTGTACTGACACCATTTCTTACTAAACTAATGGTTCCTTCTGTCCTGCCAAACATCCAAGCTAGAAACTTATCTGTCTCTTTCTTTAACCACTACTCTCCAAATCCATCAGTCTGCAAATTCTACAGATTTTATTTCTAAATATCTTGTTTTCCCTTCTGTTGCACTTTGTATCATGTCTACCTCAACTGTTCTGGCTCAAGCTCTAATCATCACCCTTGAATTATTGCAACCTGCCTCCTTGACTCTGTCCTTGACTCCCCAAAATACAAGCTCCGTAGACTGCCAAAGTGATCTGTTTAAAATGAAAATCTGATCAAGTGTTTTTTTCAGGGACTAGATGCGATGGCCGTTCTGTAAGGCATGTACAGAAGTGTTTAAAAGCATATGTAGTTTGGGATTAACAGAAACACACAGCTATATATAAAATAGATCACCAACAAGGACCTACTGTATAGCACAGGGAACTTTACTTAATATTTTGTAATAACCTATAAGGGAAAAGAAGCTGAAAAAGAATATATATATATATATCACTTTGCTATACACCTAAAACTAACACAACATTGTAAATCAACTATACTTCAATTTTAAAAAAATAGCCAATGGGAAAATTTTTTTAAATAAAATCACTTCCTAATTAAAAAAAAAAGCACATGTAGTAAATAGACGTGGTTTAGGAGTGATATCCACTTGTTACATTCAGAACGATGTTATTTCAGAGAACTGATGTGATAGCCATTCTGTAATGCACATAGATAAGTGTTTAGAGACAAAAACAAAAAAATGCAAATCTGTTCTTAATGTAAACCCTGACTAAAATCCTTCCAGAAGCCCACTGTTACCCACAGAAGTATGTCTAAGCCCTTTACAACCCACAAGACTCTCCACCATCTCACTCTTTCCTGCCTCTCTAACTTTTTTACTTCCTACCTGAACGTTGTATTTAAGAAATATCAATAAATTGGCTGTAGCTTCCTCTTCTCCACTCCACTTCCAACAAAAACTTCCAAGAAAAACAACACTGGTTTCTATAGCTACCATCTCCTATCTCACCTGCTTTGAATACCCTTACATCCTGTCCTTTAATTGGGGAACTCTTTCCTCAGTCAAGGTTACTTAATTTAAGTATCCTTGAGGCCTCCCCATCCCATATATCCAGCCCATGTTGGGATAAAGTCATCTCTGCACTGACACTGTCTTGTATCATTTTTCTGTGTACCTGTTCTTCTTAAAAGACCCGGAGTTCTTTAAAGGCAGGGTCTGAGTTTTTTTTTTTTTTTTGCGGTACTCGGGCCTCTCACTGTTGTGGCCTCTCCCATTGCAGAACAGGCTCCGGACGCGCAGGCTCAGTGGCCATGGCTCACGGGCCCAGCCGCTCCGCGGCATGTGGGATCTTCCCGGACCAGGGCACGAACCCGTGTTCCCTGCATTGACAGGCGGACTCCCAACCACTGTGCCACCAGGGAAGCCCTGAGTTTTGATTTTTGCTTTTTTCTCCACTTGGTGCCTGTAGCTCTTAGCATATTGCTCAGTAGGTATTTAACCAATTCATTTATCGAGTACTTTTCCCAACTCCTCCGGCATCTTTCTGATGTGTGTAGAAAATACAACATTCTTAATGGAACAAGAGGATCAAGCCAGTGTTACAAATGTACTGAAGTGGCACAGAGCTAATAGTATTTTCAAAAATCTGGTTACCTAAAAATCACAAGTTGTAAAATTCACCAGGTTGAAAGTTTAATTCAAATAAAGATCTTTGAGAAAGACCATAGTGAAAAATGACAGAAATGGTTCAGAGAATCTGTATTTTGTTTTCTTTGCATGTAAGTTCAAACACTCATCACCTTTGAGCAGTGTGATAAGACACTTTGGTTCCCTATTATCCAAATCTGTGGGGCAGAGACAGAATAGTTTATAATATAGTACGCAGCTGGGTGAGGGATCTGAGAGGCCCAGCTGGGAGCCTTGGCCATTGTGGCCATATGGCTGGTGGCCCATGACATTGAGCCCTTAGTTTCTCCACTTGGAGCTTCATTTTGCTTAACTACAAAATGGAGATAATACCAGCCCTGCCTAACTTTCCCAATTTAATTTGAAGGATCTAATAATATCCTACATTTTAAAATATTTTAAAAACAAAACAGGGCCACACATGCAAAAAGTAGCATTCATTTAAAACATTGTAGTAATTTGTCATTTATGAATTTATTTATTCTTTCTACATTTGTTTTCGATAATCACTGAGAGACTGAAGACACAGATAGAAAATTGCCAGACCACATAGAAAAATAGAATTCTAGCTGATTATCTACAATAACCAGCCCAGAAAGCCAACCTACAATCTATAATTCAGACTTGTAGAAATTCAGACCACTATCTCTAGCAAATAATAACCTGTATAACAATTGGCCCAAAGCAGCCAGGATTTGATTAAAAACTGACAGCTTCCCCAGTTTTGGGCCCTGCTTTTAGCATAGGATCAACCAGAGAAAGTCAAATATGTTCCCCTAACCAACGACATAGGATGTCCTGCTTCTGGTTAGCCTGCCTATAGCTTCCCTATGCCAACAGCCTTCACTGGGGGTGTAAATGAAGCCTTCCCTTTTTCTCACTATAAAGCTTTCCCACTCTTCTCCCTGCCTTGAGTCTCTGCCAAATGTGGTGGCTGACTGCATTCCTTCAGCAAGGCCTGATGAAATAGCCCTGCGTGTTCTCATTTGTTTGCTCTTCGTTTATTTCCACATTGCTATGGTTCCTTCCAGCTCCCAGGTGCTATGCAGTTGTGTAAACACATGTCAAAAATATCATTCTATGAGACAGAACTTAAACCAGGAGGGTAGTCCCATAAGAACAATCTTAGAAAGATCCCAAGCTTAAGTCCCAGTTATACTGAAATCAAATATAAGTAAAAATATTTTAAACTAATACATTCCAGCAAATAACTATAGCAAGACAATTTAACCAACACTTACTTTTCTGTGCCCTGAGTCAAATGGAATAAAACCAGTATCAGAAAAGAACATCCTAGACTATATCCGAGCTGTTTATTCACAGTTTCAAAGAAAATGTAGCTCTGGCTTCCAAATGTCACAGCATCAGAACCTAATGACCCATCTGTTTCACCTCACGTTCTCTTCCAGATTTTAAACTAACCATTGGGATGTTTGCCTTATTATCGACCTCTATGTTTTATTCCCACTGCCATCATTAAGCAGTTACAATTTTTTTCTTATCTCTCTCTCTCTCTCTCTCTCTCTCTCACACACACACACACATATACACACACATACACACACACAAACACACAGAGTCTTCTACCACTGGTATTGAAATTAACCAAACTAAAAAAAATGCTCTAATTTAACACTGGGTCCAATACTGTTCCTGCAGATTCGGACACTATTTTAAATATGAAAGGCTGAGGATGTCAAAGTCTCCCCACCAACCTCAGTTTCTTTGTTCTCATTCAAATTACTCACACACACACACCAGGGAAGTGTCATTTAGGTCTCAAATCTCAACTAAATAAAAGTCCAATACAGCTTTGGGAACAAAAAGGAGTCTTTTTTTTTTTTTTCTTCTTTCTTTGTTTTCAAGTCCCAGAGGTTAGCCTTCAGTGAGTTTTGGCAGGTATATTTAGAGAAACCTGAACAAAAGGTTTGCACAAATCATGCTACTCAGACTTGTGCCGGTGTACCTTCACATCCTAAACAGAAGGCAGAGCTGAAAAATCTGTAAGAAAATCATAAATGTATTATTGAGCATTTTATTGGGGAATCAACCAGGTATCCCGTGATATTCAAGAAGAGCTTCCTACAAAATGCATTTTCTAATTAAAATAAATACGAAAAACTTTAAAATAGCTGTTGAAAAGAGACCAATGGAAAGTGGACAATCAGACTAAGAAATTCATACAATAAGACATATTGAAAGCTCAGAGAAATCTATTCAGAGGAATAAGGATGTGTTTATCCATATCCATATATCTCAATGTTTTCTTGAAGCCTGTTGAAAACAAAAATTGATTTTTAGTAACAAACTTTCCTGAACAAGATCAATCTTAGGTACCACGGTATGTTTTTCTTTTTAAACATTTTTATTGGAGTATAATTGCTTTACAATGTTGTGTTAGTTTCTGCTGTGTAACAAAGTGAATCAGCACTACTTACAATAGCCAGG